ACATGGGACTAATAGGCTATAAACTTATCTGGTAAAAATTACTTAGGTGATGAGTGCACATTTGGCTGTCTTTACGAGAAATGGAAGTCATAATGCTATGTAGATTAAAAAATTCGACTGTGTCGTTGGTCGAGTGGCCGCAAGTGCGACCGGGCAAAGTGTTACTAGGTTTTTTCAAAATTCTGAGTAGTAGCATGGAGTCTTGAATTTTGCCCGGTAACTATGCTCAATTGCTCACCCCTATTACATGGGACTCATAACTAAAGTAGTGAATATGGGCGTTACATTGTACCTACAGTGGCATTAAACGCCGTAATGTGCACCTCTGCCTACCGCTTCGGGGATATAAGGCGTAATGTTATGTAATTTTATTAAAAAACCCTAAAAGTAAACAAGTTTTCTGTCATGGAATATAAGTTCAGTTGATCGCATAAATAGGTAATCACTCTCAACGCTTTACGTAGCCGCTGTTGCTGAACTATCTCAAATTGCGGTTCGTGGTTCGAGGTCAGCCGCAAGTCCGCAACATCGACGGCGAGTCCATTTGCACTTCATCTCACCTCTTACCCACAGCTCTATCTATGCTACCTACAATATATGGGATAAACCCGCTAAACAAAGGGAAGATTAAAATTCTGGGAATCTAGGAAAGGTGCAAGATCTGGGGTAGTGATAGAGTGTAACAAAGGCACCAAGAAAGTTTAACTCAATAAATAGGTGAGTCACAGGAATATCAACGATCTTAAACCCTGCAGCGATTAATACACGCATTGATCGATTATTTCCTTTATACTTTTTTTTCTTTTTAAGGGGGGAAAATCATCGAATGACTGCTCCCACCTGGGTGAAGCGAGAGGGAGTGGCAGATTCTTACTGACTTAAAACCACCCTGTTCCTTATCCTGCACGTCGAGCCGGAGCCCCGGTAACCCCTTAGGTTCTCCGCGACTCCGAATCGGCATCAGCCCTGTTGGGCCCCATCCGTGGCGGTCTGATGGCTCTTTAAGACGCGCGCGGAATGCGACGCGTCGTACCATCGGGTCTGTTTCTGGTCGGACGGGGAGCCACCCTAATTAGACGACTAGGATTGTCTCCTGTGCCGTAGGTGCGTTTATAACATACAAGTCCACATACATATGACACCTAGATCCGGAATAACAACTTGTGAATCACAAAAAGAGTTACTCCGTGTGGTAATCGAAACCGCGACACGTTGCCCGGCAGCCAGTTGCCCAGCCACCACCATACCAACAGTGCCGTCAAATTCGTTTATTTCGACCACGTGCTTCTCAAATTCGATAAAAAAAGTACAAAATATTTTAGTTTATTATATAACTACCGCAGTGATGGTGAACTTAGTTAATGGTATTGAATAGAAAAACTGCCTCATTTATTTTTATAGTCAGACCAAGGAGTATTATGATTTTTAAATTGTAGTGTGTGTGACACCTCGCCCTATACGTGAGTAGTGTAAGTTTGTTATTAGGACACTTAATTAAAGATATTCATAACACCAACACGTCTCCCTCATTGCATGGCGACCCTGCCAGTGCTGCCACGCGGGCAGCGCTGAGCACGAGTACGGAGTTATGGATATTGTCTAATAAAAACGAATGAAAATTAATTGGACTAAAAGTGCATCAGTGCTTAAAATTTTTAAAATGTGGTGATTTTGCTGGCTGTCGTACAATTTCGAGGCAGCGAAGCTGCAAGGAGTTAATGGTGTCCGAAATGATGGAGCCGATGTTGGCGACCAGGTAGAGTCCGAGATTGTCTCCGCTACCCTGGCAACGCAGAATGAAGTAAACGGACTCCAAAGTACTTGAGTGTTTGAAATGTTAAGTGTATTATAGTGTAGTTAAAAAGTGAAAATGGACAACAATATATTGAACGAAGGTCGACTTGGAGAGGGTGGTTAAATTAATACACACTGTACTGTAATCTGTTAATCACGTATAATATCACTGTTACTATGCTTGCTGCTCACATCGTGGATGTCATTTATCCGTACCCTATATAAATCCCGGTAACGAAACCATAGCGCCATCTAACTCGATCCCAACGCCATCTATCAAGCGCTGGGACAACTCGTGTTAATTAATGAATTATTTTAATATAAAATGTTGATAGCGCTATGATCCCGTTACCGCCACGAACATACCGCCCACCAAGGACATATTTTCAATAATTAATGTCCTTAATAATCCGCCCACCATAACAAATGTGCCATATCACAATCCACTACCCAGTATGGCAACTGACGTCCTTGGCGGCTCCAATATGTATAAGTATAAACCAGCTTAAATAATTCCACTAAAACATAAACATAAACAATTCCCAACCCGTTACATAAACATTAAAATCAATAACAAAAAAAATAAAACTTCTAAGTAACAATTAAAATTTCAACTTCTCAGTTAATTATACTAAGTTTCATTAGATTCCTGGCAAATTGGCAAAATACATAATTTTGATGTCGGCCTTTTAAACATTGACGATTGAGTGCGTACAGTTACTACTCGAGTCAGTCCATCAGGACCCGGATGTTTTTGCTCAATTTTTCCCATTAACCACCTTGCTGGAGGCATATTATCCTCCTTAATTAAAACAATGTCACCAATAGATGGTTCTGGAGTTTTATGAGCCCACTCATGTCGCTGTAAAAATGGTTGTAAATAATCATTAGACCAACGCCGCGCCACCAGAAATCTAGAATTTCCTATTACCCATTTGAGGTGGTACTTAGTAGATTGTATGCCTACCTCCCGTAAACCTCCAAAGTTCAGCGCGTGAGGAGAGACAAAATGCCATTCTGTACCATTATTACCCAGATAATCAACCAATTCAGAATTAAAACCAGATTTCTCCCGATTAAATAAATACAGCAACTCCCGTGCTGCACCCACAAAATTTGTGGTGCCGTTATCACATAATACAGCGCAACGACCCCGTCTGGCCATAGGACCAGTGTATAATAATATGACAAACCTCGTCTTGCAAAGACAGACCAACCATCAGGTCATCATTAAGTGACCTCCCGTTGCTGCGCTTACATGAAGCATCAAATACAACACGCACCTTGGTTGTATCTCTATCCTCCCGGATAACAGCATGATGAGGTAAGTAAACATTATTTTATTATTTCTTTTTTCTTTCAGATACTTCGACCATGTTTTAAAACTTAAATACTCTTGTATCACGTTTGCGTAGTCAGCCCTTAATTATTATTTTTTGCTAACCTTGCTTTTAACCCTTTAAGTCTTTTTTTTCAGCTTATCCTTTGGATTCGCCGCCCGTACCAACCAGGTTCGTATCCCGTGATGGCAATCTCACCATGCACCTGCCATCTTTATCCCTTATCGTCGTTGCTGTGAACAATTCTTCACATTCATCATCCTAGACGCTGTTATGCATCACGGTAATTTTTGAGTGAGAATTTATATCTTGGACAACATCAAACGCACCTGATAATATCCATCCCAAAGTGGTTTCTTGCGCTAATAGTGTCCCGTTTCTATTCTTTTTAACACCTTGCTGAAAGACTTGACTGTATACCTCAGCGCCCAATAGAATATCGATATTATTAGGTGTAAAGTATTCCGGATCAGCCAAATGGAATTCGTTCAAGTCCACCCATTCTACCCTAGCTGCTTTAGCCGATGGAAGAAGCGATGTTACCGACTTAAGAACGTAGGCGTTAACCCTTATTTGAAACGATGGATTTATTCTAGATTGAAGCTTTATCTCCACTACGGCCGTTGTTGTTGTACCCTTATCTCCCACCCCCAATACTTTGTTTTTCGAAGATCTTTTCTTCAACCCTAGATACTGAACCAGAGACTCTGTAATAAAAGAACCCTGGGATCCCTGATCCAGTAACGCCCTAACTGTATGGTAAGTCCCATTCTTCGACTCAGCCTTCACTAAGGCTGTAGTTAGTAAGATAGTTTTACTGCCTCCTGTTGCAAGACATGAGACTACCTTTGTTTCAGACCCTTGGTTTGCAGCACCAAATACCCTCACCAACTTTCGACCCTACAACACCCTGCGGGTGTAACAATGAATGGTGGCGGCGATTACACACTTGGCATTTGAGAGTGTTTTTACAAAATTTTACAGTGGTTGCTAAGCAGGCAATTATAACATAAATTGTTCTGTTGAACAAAGTTCCGTAGATTTTGAGTACTTTGTTTTATAAATTTCGTACATGAACTTATTTTGTATTGACCTGTACAAAATGCACAAGATATCCTCTTATCTTTTATAACGTGAAACGCCCGTGTAGCTTTTGAGACCCTATCTACTTTAGTTTCTATATTTTCTAAACCCCGAAACCGATTAACTAGAAATTCTTTAAGTCGATCAAAAGTAGGAAGATCATCCTTTGGATCTGACGCTACTTTTAACTCCCAGGCTCTTCTAGTAGCCGTATCCAGTTTTTCAGTAACAATGTGAACAATTAAAAATGATGCAAGATCTATATCGAGATTTTTTATTGACTCCAAACAATCCGATGTTGTACTCAAAAGTTTTTTAATATCTGCGAACTCTCCAGTTAAAGCCTTTTGATTAAATAAACATTTTACCATACCATTTGCCAAGAATCTTTTATTATTGTACATGGACTCTAACTTCTCCCAACTAGTAACATAATTATCCGAAGTCACATTTACATTTCTTAATAACAGTTCCGCTTCCCCAGTTAAATATCCTTTCAAATAGTATAATTTCTGTGCATCATCTAATCTACTATTATTATGTACCAACCCCAAAAACAAATCTCGAAAGGTCAACCATTCGTTATATTTACCGGAAAACATTGGTATTTTTACTTCTGGCAACTTAAAATTAACAACCACTAAGTCCCGAACTACAACATTTTTCTTTACCTAAAGTATCATTTCTAATTAATTCCCTTAGAGTGCTTTTAAATCTTCTATATATATATAATTCAAAGGTGATTGACTGACTGACTGACTGACTGACTGACATAGTGATCTATCAACGCACAGCCCAAACCGCTGGATAGATTGGGCTAAAATTTGGAATACAGATAGATGTTATGACGTAGGCATCCGCTAAGAAAGGATTTTGATAATTTCCACCCCCAAGGGTGTAAAAAAGGGGATGAAAGTTTGTATGAAACTTTGTCAGTTTTAAACCGATCGGGTTTAAATTTGGCATGCAGATAGATGTTATGACGTAAGCATCCGCTGTGAAAGGATTTTGATAATTTCCACCCCCAAGGGGGTAAAATAGGGAATGAAAATTTGTACGGGACTTTGTCAGTTTTAAACCGATCGGGTTGAAATTTGGCATGCAGATAGATGTTATGACGTAGTAATCCGCTGTGAAAGGATTTTGATAATTTCCACCACCAAGGGGGTAAAATAGGGGATGAAAGTTTGTATGAGACTTTGTCAGTTTTAAATCGATCGGATTGAAATTTGACATGCAGATAGATGTTATCATATAAGCATCCGCTAAGAAAGGATTTTGATAATTTCCACCACTAAGGGGGTAAAATAGGGGGTGAAAGTTTATATGAAGCTTTGTCAGTTTTACACCGATACAGACGAAATTCGGCATGCAGGTAGATGTTATGACGTAGGCATCCCCAAGTAAGGATTTTGATTATTTCCACCTCCAATGGGGCAATGTAGGGGATGAACGTTTGTATGAAGCTTTGTCAGTTTTACACCGATCGGCTTAAAATTCGGCGTGCAGATGGATATTATAACGTAAACGTCCCTTTAGAAAGGTTTTTGAACATTCTCACCCCAAAGTATGATACTTTGCCAGTTTTAAATTGATCGGGCTGAGACTTTGCATGCATAAATTTACTATGACATAGGTATCTCCTTACAAAGGATTTTGATTAATTCCACCCCTAAGGGGATAAAATAGGGAATGAGAGTTTGTATAAATCTTCTTAGCCATTGAATTTAGAATCATTGAATCTTTTTGAATTACAATCGGTAAAACGATGATTTGGGACCTGGGTAACGTTTGATAGTTTTTATCACAGATGTCCCACGGGAACGGGAACTATGCGTCAATACCCCGGGACTGTCTAACTCTTAACCACTGAACTTATTTTAGAGAGATTCGGTACAACAATAGTCGATAGAATAGTTTTTATTACTCAAACCTTACGTGATCGGGCACTGTACTGGTAAGATCCCTGCGGGATTATTTATTTATTGAAACTACGATAAATCATTTCAAAATAGGTAAATCTTACTTGGGCACAGAATTGATTCTGTCAGAAGTCATTAATCTACGCGGACGAAGTCGCGGGCAACAGTTAGTTGTACATATAAATCTTCGACCTCCTCATAAAAACAATCTTTGTGATACTTAGAACTCTGCAATTCGGATTTCTTAACTTGGTTTAATATTTTAACATGAGTATTATAGAAAAGTTGCCATTGTTGTTCTAACTTTTCTAACCTTGTCTCAATATAAGATACTGTAAGCCGGTCTTTAGGACATTTCTTAAAGTTAACTATAGACCTTTCAAGTTTATTTTTAACATCTTCCTGGATACCCACAAATGAATCCATTTTGTACACAAAATATTACAAACAGATAACTAATACAACAATATATTATCTACACAAATACAATAGAGAATGAATTATAATTATTTATACTAAACTTAATATAGAAATAAATAAAAGTAAGCACATGTATAATAATGAAATGAAGAATGTTGAATAAATATAATGAAATAAATATAATTAATGAACAGGTACCGGAGAGTCCTGTATAAATGTAATGTGCTTACATGTGTATAATTTTATTGTGTACCTTACGATAGTGGATAGTTTTAAATAAAATATTTTATGTGTACCTAGTTATAAAGAATATTAAAGGCTTAGGATAAAGGAAAATGATTATAATAATATGAAGAATAAATATGTAAGAGGCATAAATTGATAACAAATTTTTAATAAATATTTAAGTTGTAACAATAATTTACCAAATGAATTTCAAAATCTTTAACTTGAATCGTAAAATGTTTCAATATTGTCAACAGTGCGAATATTTTAAGAAATAATTATGTATGTTTGTTTCAATGATAAAAAAAATATAAATAAATATTTTTTTTCCAAAAAAACGGGGGAGGTGTAGTGTGTGTGACACCTCGCCCTATATGTGAGTAGTGTAAGTTAGTTATTAGGACACTTAATTAAAGATATTCATAACACCAACACGTCTCCCTCATTGCTCCACATTGTATGGCGATCCTGCCAGGATTTCCACATCGTGCGTTGCCAGGGTCGCCCTGCAGGATCGCCATGCATTAAAAATAAAAAATGTTTCAGTATTATCCTAGTATAACACTGGAACCGCATTTATTTTTTATGTATTACACGTATTACATTAATTATGTAATGTGCACGAGTGAAAGGCGTGAAAGTATCTTAATCCAATAATATCAAAGTTCTGGCGATTACGAATTGAGATAAACTTGATATCAATCAAAATTTAAAATGTGCGATGGTTATTCCCCGATCGAGTAGGATAGAGGACAAGTATAAACCTAGATATCAATTAAATCCAGTTTTTACTAGATAATGTAAAATTTATAAGTAATTAATTATACTTTTGCCCTTGCTAGTGAGCAGATCACTAAACATTGTTTACGCGTAGTAACATGCAAAAATATACAATCTTACGTCAGCGTAGAATTGAATGCAGTTACATTATTATAGTAACTATTGTAATACCAGTAGTGCAGCTCGTCATGGTTTCATGCTCATATCATACAATAGCGAGGACAAAATTAGTTGGATCTAACTAAAGTCACTTCCATGTGGGTTCTTATGGCTTAAAAAAATCATAATCAGGTAATGCCTGGTGGGTGAAGGTGGGACCTTCAACTGTCGGGACCTACTCGACAGATATTTTCTCACGTTCTAAATTCCATGCAGGCGAAGCCACGAGAAGAAAGCTAGTTGACAGTACTAATTTAGATGTATCATTTGTCCTTACGAACGGAAGGTTTGACATTGTTTACGTGTGCTTGTAAAAATATATTAATTTACGTCACCAATTGATAGCCTTGTTTAATTGACACTGTTGTGTTGCACATGCTCATCGCAACAGCGTCATATTTCTTGCTAATTGTTGTACAAATTGTACTAACTACCTTAACTATAGAGGTACAGTATAATTGCCGTGTATTATGGAATTTACAACAAAATAAGTATCTAAAGTCAGAGATCCTCTAAAACAGAATAATCGAAACAGATTCATGACATGGAAATAATACAAGAAAGAAATATGATATGATTTTCAACCAAAAGTCAAGGGTATCATAATAAATGCCATTCTTGAACAGTATGTCAAAAAAAGGTTCGTAACGTATAAAAAGTATAAAAAGCTTAGTCCTGACAGCAATAAATCATTCACATGACACTCAGGAAAAATGTTTAAACAAAAAAATACAAAGTAAGTTACGGTAAACAATAAAATAACGATTCACAATTGTCTGAAATAATCACTTTGTCCTCAAAAATGTCAGTAGTCCAATGCCACAAACTGACTCAGTAAGTGCCTGCTCAGACGAAGGATTTTTCCAAACGACTGCTGGGGACAATAATAATCAATACAGGATTAAGAGAAATTTCCATCGAGGTGTTGATCGAATTGCATCACGGGGTATTTTTTAGTTGATATAAAGTCATTATAACTAGAGTGAGAAGAGATTTTTTGCCCAGCGATGGTACATTTAGAGGTTGCGGCTATGATAATGATAAAACTAAATCAAATAATAACTAACGAAGAGGACTTAAATACGATTTGATGCGGTAAAGTCAGTGAGATAGAAGTCCCTCGTCTGTGCACTCTGTGGTGCATTATGCATTACGTGTAAGGACACTTTGTTTACAATGACTATGTATCAAGTGGGTAATAGTCTATGCGTGCAGCTAACTGGGGGTTTATAATAAAAGCATATTAGACTTGATTATGTCCATTTGTCAATCGTACAGTTCTATAAGTACTGTAAAATGAGTGACTATGTTTTTCACTGCAATTGTGAATGACTTTTCCTGTCGTGATGTACGCCTTAACAGTCGATTTTAGGTATTATCAATGGTTACCACGCTAGAGTACACGTTATGGCAATTCACTGTCTGTGTAAGTACTCCATAAGCATTAAGCGTTTCTATTGAGGTGAATAGTTAATTCAAAACAATCAGCTCGCTCTAGCATTTCCTCTGTACTCGACTGGGGATTCCGGAGCTCTGCTAAATAATGAACCTGTGTACCTAATGTATTGGAGTCTAGTTAGATACTAAAAAAAGTTAATGAATGAAGAGTAAGTATGTGGGGCAAGAATAGATAACATATGTTGTTTATGTATACATCTCGCAGACTTAGAACTAATTAAAATTTGGCATTAAAGAATACCTTTTGTACCTATCACCGGGCGATTTTAATTGACATTATACAACAATCTCCATAAATACTAGTAAACAGTAAATACTAGTACTCAGACCTATTTATATCTTAAAATTATTAGTGCAATGGAATGTTTTCCGCTTACGTTTTATTACATGACTGCGTTAATGGGAGCCCACGCTTTTTAAACTTTACTGCATTGCAGTTCGAGCTCTATCACCCATGAGATAGTGTCGTCAATTCATTATGTTTCGTTAATAAACGTAGTATGACACAGTTTATACATAACTCGCCTCGTATAAACGGTAAGATGCCATATAATAGTGCACTATAATTTATTATGGAAATTAGTTGAAGGAAAAAACCGGACAAGTGTGAATCGAACTGGCTACCAAGGGCCATTTAAGTAATTTAAAAATTAACTCATTCATGCAATTCCCTTATCTATAGACACGATACGTATAGTGGACATGGAAACTTTATAACCCTATTCTTTCTATAATTACCATTAAAACATTTATAGGAATTACTTTCAGACTTTTTCAGTACTTGTCGATACTGATGGTATTCAAAAAATCAGAAAAAATGGAGTATAATTTTCAGGATTTGTAAATTATTATTATTGTAATACTATTTTTATGTTTTTAATCTCATACTACGATAGATAACCATCAAAAAGGTTGGCCATCCTGACGCTGATGGAAAGACGATGTAGGTAAGTTATTAACCTCGACCATTAACATGAAAAAATACTAAACAAAAATATGTAATACCGGTCTTTATACGAGGAAAACCCCGTATCTATGTCAAACACGATTACGATGAACTTGAATAATTATTTTACATACAACATTAGGATTAAATTATCCTTTTTATTGCACCATTTGTATGCTGCAATTGTTTTAGTAAAAAGGAATTTACATTTAATAAATTGTCAGGGAAATATATGATGCACCATGTGGAATACTGATTGTGTTACTAGTGGTGAAAACATAGATATATGTATAACATAACATAAAATCACGCCTTTTATTCCCGAAGGGGTAAGCAGAGGTGCACATCAAGCCACTGTACAACGTAACACCCACTTTTCACTTTTTATGAGTCCCATGTAATAGGGGGTGAGCCTATTGCCATACACCGGGCACAATTCCAGACATAGATATATATATATATCCATAATAAATATGCCGAAAATATAACCAATGACATTATGTGTATTTTTTATAATTTATGGGCCGTTTAGCCACTGTTTTTTTTAATTATAAGCAATTATAAGAGGTCCAATGTGTAATGATGGAAAGGACAAGTAAGTAAGCCATGATGTTAAATCATATCGTAGTTAATAAGAGTCTTGAAATGCTCTTGATGGAGTTTACTTTTACTTGGCTACCAACTATGCTATACTATAATGCATACAAAAGCAAAACCACGGGAAAGATAGAAACTGAAAAAAAAATGTTGTTAATATTTCTGTGATAATGCCTACACCTTCCGGTATAAAAGGCGTGATGTTATGTTGTTGTTGTGACTGTTGTACACTCACCGTTTAGATTGTTGTGTTAACTTATGTTTACCTGTCGACCTTGTCAAAGTAAGTAATTTACCTTCATAAAGGTACACACATTAAACTGTCAAATACCAAGCGGTCACCGGTGACCGCGACCTATTGTTCTTTAATTGTGTCTATAAAACCGGTACTCGACGAGTTAACAGTTTCACAAATAAATGCA